CTTACTATATACCTAGACCCCCATTATTCATGTTCGGTACTAATGTGCTACGTCTATTAACATGTCAATCACGTGTACGTAGATGTGTGAGTCACTCGAATCAAAACGTTTCAGAATTAAGCAAATTCAAATGGAAACTTGTAGCCTGTGTTATTATGCCCATACATGTTAGTCGACCTCATAATTCTCTTAGGTGGTAGCAAAACTCATCCATATATGATTGTCAGCATGCTATTTGGCAATACAAAATTATGATAATGAATTGCAAGCTCACTAACTGATGATAAGAACCTTGAGGCTGAAGACTATTCAAGTTTCCAACAACAGAAAAAAGTAGAAACGACACACTATGTTTAGTATATATCGAAACACCTCGAGCTGGGACAGCTTGAAACATTTCTTTTTCGAGCATATGCTTGTCTTTTAATCATAGGAATTTTCGTGGGTTAGTTTGGTAAACCGAGAAAAAAGTTGTAAAAAAAAATTTATTTGGCCATAATCGATATAATTTCTATAGTAACTATAAATAGTACTGATCTCCTACTTAGTCTAATAGTAATAGTGATAAAACTTTTTAAGAATCTTTTTAAATTCTGCATTGATTAAAAAATAACCGCTGTAAAGTTTTAACAAGGAGGGCTACCGCTGGCATTCACCACTTTGGCAAAATGTGATAAATAAATAACAGTGGCGATTTTACTACCTTAAGTGGCGATTACAAATGGCGAATGGTTTTAAATGTTTTCGTACACCTCTTTTCTCATGCCCATCACCTGTTTATGCTTTGCTTAGCACATACGATAAAGTGAACTGTGGCTATAGTTTTTCATTGATGGCTAAAAAATAATGTGGGTGGCTCAAGTCTTGGCTCAAACTTTAAAACATCCAGAGGGAGCCATGAACAAGGGCTTGTTTATTTGCACCTGACCGTGAACAGTAAAGGCAGGGGTGAACCTTAGCACTATATACTAGAATCTCGAACATGTTTGCAATGTCAATAATTCAGAGACAGTGTTCTATTTGTCTTCTCACGTTATAGCGAGGGAAAGGGAGAGAGAGGGGGAGGGAGAGAGAGAGAGAGAGAACGGGAGAGAGAAAGAAAGAGGAGAGGAGAAAAAAAATTTCCACTAGTTAGTGCTTGTATTTTACTTCAGTTACAGTTCTACAGTATGTTATTGAAACTTATTGTGGCAACACTAATCTGCCTAAATGGATAAAATTCCTACAACAGCTATCATGTCAGGTTTAGCATGGGGTCATGTACACGTTAGGCCTGAAAATTGATCAAGCATTTAAAACGGAGAAATACTAAGTAGTTATTTGTGAGTCACTGAACATTTTCTAGCAATATAAAATGCAGAGTGAGCATTGTTCCAGTTTTGGTAAATCGGTCTGTAAACCAAACCAGTATTGATTTCAAAAATTTCTATTATGTAACTTATTTTAAAATCCATGAAAATAGCCAACCCAGCGTAAATCTTACCAGTTCTAGACTGGAGGACTGCCTGCTAGTTCCAACACTGAATAATGGATTACAGTACTTTGGTAGCTTTTTATGTTAACCATATTGGTAAGTTTTATTTAACTACTTTACGTTACAGCTACTACTTCCTGTAGATTACACATGTATGTAATGTCTCCTTAAGGATACTGTTAGGGTTACGGACCAGTAACACTGTAAAGGGCATTGCAACATAACTAGTAACTACTCATCAAATTCAATCAAACTCATATCCATTACATACGAGAGATGTCTCTCTACGCTCTCGATTATGTGTGTGTGTGTGCGCGCACGTGTGAGTTTTGGTTGGGTTAAGTGAATGAGTGAGTGCAATTGTGTACTTGGCTTGTTGATCGCTGTCAAATCGGCCATCCATTCACTGTAGAAAGAGTGGGGAAAAGTTTTCGGTTATTGTCCGACCACTTGGTCACAGTACAGACGTTTATCCACTGTCCGGCCGCTTGGCCATAGTACAGACTTTCACTCACTGTCCGGCCGGTTGGTCATACAACTTAAAAGTACAAACTTTTAAGTCATTGTCCGGCAACCCAGGCATGTCCAGCTAGCCAGCCGCTGTTTTTTGACACTTAGTGTTGACACCTGTTTTTAGTCACCTTCGGATGTGTTTGCTGCGGCTGCTGGCTTTATGCCACCCGGCCGTGTGGTGGCAGTACGAGCGGGTATAGGTGCCTGCAGGTGCAAACCGTGCATTAATTAATAAGCAGGTGATGTAACGGCGGATAGGGCGTAGGTGTGTGGAGCGTATTCCCCGGGAGCACCCTCAATACAAGGTAGCGGTGGCGGATGACTCACTTGTTTCTGGATCGCGTGCTGTTCGCTCGAGAATCGCACGCAGGAGACCGCCTGTACTCATTACAAATAATTTTAATTTAACTTTGATGTTTGAAATTAACGATGCACATTTGCTAGGCCATGTCATCTGTTTAGGGGAACGACCATTTCAGGTAGCAGGCTTGTACACGTTTTTGCACGGTGGCACACGTTTGCTAGGCCATTCTGTTTTGATAGTGAACCGGCATTTTTTCGGCATTAACTTTTAAGTCCTATAATCGTACGTCGTACTGCGCAGATCAACAACTCACGTTATGCACGCACGCACGCACGCACGCACGCACGCACGCACGCACGCACGCACGCACAAACGCGCAAACGCACTCACGCACAAACGAACGCACGCACAAACGCACGCACATATACACATAGCATTTACATACATATATATGTTGTAATGTTAGGGATTTCTTTTCGTCCGAAGACGACATGGGCTCGCAAATTTATCGGTCCGCTTTTGTGGAAAGAAACACTTCTTGCTTCTGTAGCGCCTCTGCGCTGCTATTTTACCTGGCAACTCGTTGGAATCACCTTGGAATCACCGCTAGAAATTACCGATTCGATTTGGAAACCCCTCCTTCCCTCAAGTCGGTCGCCGCAAGCCCGTCCTCGCCACACGCGCGCCAACTGGCGGCCCGATGATCCCCGTGCCGCGAGAACACTGCTCACTATTCATACGTCCGGCCTGCAGCGAAACCTGTTTCATAATAATAACTTGCAGATCTCGAGATTTTGTATGGAAAAAAAAAGGAGTGCGACAGCACAATGCAATCAATTCACTGCTGGCGAGCGCTGGTTTGGCGATGGGGAAGGGGAGAGCGCGGGGGAATCGAAATGAGAGGGTTCACGACGGGCCGCAGTAGTGTTATATGTGGGGTAGGCGGCGCGAAGGAGCTTGAACGCCGTGGCACCCCAGCCAGCTGATTATTGTTGAGAGTGTTCGTACAGCCTAACTAACAGCAGACCTCTGTTGTGCAGCCTTCGTTACCACACCGCTGTTGTACAGCCTTAGTTACCACACCACTGTTGTACAGCCTTAGTTACCACACCACTGTTGTACAGCCTTAGTTACCACACCACTGTTGTACAGCCTTAGTTACCACACCACTGTTGTACAGCCTTAGATACCCCACCACTGTTGTACAGCCTTAGTTACCCCACCACTGTTGTGATAAGTCATTGGAAATCAATCATCTACAGAATGATCTGGTGCCACCCAGCAACTAGGTGAAATCAGTCGTCACATGGACTTCATTTAAACCGAACGAGTAAAGTGATGCACAATCAAGCGATCAATCAATCTGGCTATTGGTGCCTTATTTCATATAGTAAATTGGAGTCAATATGGCTTGCTCACCTCTGGCATGCAGCAAACACATCACTACATGCAATAATAATAATAGACTACTTTTAGCAAGAGGTGTTATTTTTCAAGCATTTCTGTTATCCAGGACCAGGCCAGTGGTCGTTGATAAAACATCATGTTTAATACCCATTGTAATGGTGAAGTTTACATCAAAAAGCGATATCAATTTAGAGCGAATTATTTCATATGAGCCGAGCGCAGCGAGTGACACGGGTCATTAACTTTACACCTATAGAGCGTCATAGGCTTATTTTAACCCAGGGTCACAGAGAGTGAAATCAGTCCGCAACAGCGAGAATCTAGGTGACACCTACTACCAATTTTTACGACTAACCAGAAAGAACAATTACCATTTTTTATTACAAGAAGGATGGCAGCTTGGATGTCAGTTTCGACACGGTCAAGTACAAACGAGCGAACGCGCCGAAAAATAGAAATTATGGAAATTATGGAAACATGAAACGAAATGCCGCCATTCCCACGCCAGAGCGAGAAGCCTCTCACCTTCACTTAGCCATAAAAATCATGGAGATGATGACAGTATTGCACCATCCGCATGCAACAAGGCGTTGACCACGCTTGGGCCACTGATTCCTCCAGAGGTATAAAACCCCAGCCAATGTGGGACAGAAGTCAGAAGCGAGTCACCAACGCTCTCTCTCGCAGTCTGCCACCGTTGCTTTGACTGACAGACTCCACTCGAGCCGCGCTGCGGCCAGTCATCATCGGACACCACGGTCGTAAGACATGAACTATTTGCAACCATTTGTAAAGTTTGTGTATCTGCCTACTGGCCGGTATTGTAGTTAAGTACTGTATGCCTTGTAAAGTGATTTGTGGTAATTAAAGTATGCATTCATTGTAGTAATCATTTGGTTATAGTACGATATACTGTGTTTGGCTTAAGTGCAATAGCACGTCTATCTGTTGTACAAACGAACCTGTACTACCCTGTACGATCACGTGCCTACACCCGGGTTAACGTCAGCCTTATAATTGGTGCCGTGACCAGGATTCGAACCTGGGTTATTGCGACAGTCTGCGCGCGCGCGAGAGAGAGAGAGAGAGAGAGAGAGAGAGAGAGAGAGAGAGAGAGAGAGAGGGAGGGAGGGAGGGAGAGAGAGAAGGGAGGAGAGAGAGAGAGGGAGCACGAGAGAGAGAAAGAGAGAGAGAGGAGAATATTCACACATCACAACTAATACTGGAATACACACGTGGTTGCTTTTAGGCATTTCAATGCACAAAAATAACTGTTTCTTCATAAAAAATTATCATAGGCTATGGCAGCACCACGTTGGAAGGCTGTAAATTTCATGATTGTGTAAAGAAGGCAGATGCAGGAAACAACTACTTGATCAACCCTCCTCAGGGCGAGGTGAGGAGTCATCCTTGCACACAGTTCTTGGCAGAAAATTAATCTCTCTAAATAGCCGTGTTTACAGAATTTTACTTTGTCAACCATTCCCTGTAGTGCTTGGTAATTTTCACACTAGACATTGTGGTATTCAAAATTTCTTTTGATTTTGAGCAGAATTGCTATTTAAACTAACAAGCAGCATCCATTTTAACAGCATTCGTTCTAAAGTTCCAATTCTTTGTTTCACATTAAATAGCATCTATCTTATATCTATATTATCTTATAATTGCAAAATTTTCTAACTAATGGTCCCTCCTGTGTCATCTGACTTGTCTTTAGTTTTCAGTGTTGACCTACCAGATTGGGGGAGAAGTAGGACACACGTTGCCATTCAGGTTACAAACCGTTGTGGAGGACTATGATGTTAGCAGGTACTCAAAAATGTTTATCCTACTGGATTCCAATGTGTTCTAATCAGTGTCCATGCATGGCTTTCAATCTAATTCAACTCTATACATCTCTACTCTGATTTCCTTCCTTTGGCATACTTCTGAAATGCTTCTACTTACTGTATTCTGTGATTATTTCTGGCTTATCTTAATGTTTCTGCATTACCTTCTACTTTACAAATTACAATGATGAAATTAAATATGCACTATATAGTTGATTGTACCAAAAGTATCCTGTTTTCCCATTACATTGAGCTTATTCTAGTGAATGTTTCATAGGGACATGGAGGTCATATTGAAGCTTCGCTGTGATATTCCAGCAAGAACTAAAGCAGTGAACATCTCTCTAACTATACCTGTTCCGAAGGAGACTTCAGGGTGTGTCATTATTTTGTAAATATGTAGCATATAATATTCCATTAAGTTACAGTTGGAAAATGGTAACAATGTATATTCTGTGAAAGATTCGAGTCATTCATGATGGATTGGTGGGAGGACTAGCGAAACACAAAATTAATATCAAGGGCTAATAAATAATACATGTGCTATTAGCTTTTGTTAATATCTTGATATTACAATTTAATTATCTCTAACCCTAAGTACTCCATAATTGAGTACACGACTAAAATGTCAATGTTGATTTGTGATTGGGTAGTGGGTGTTGCGTTTACAGGATGTCGCATCAGTTGGGCTTATCCGGGCAAACGGCAGAATTCCAGCCCAAAGAGAAGCAAATTTTGTGGAAAGTGAACAGCATGATGGGAGAGACGAGTCACATCGCACAATTTAAGGTACTCGTGCTTTGTATTCTTCAGCGAGTTTAATAACAAGACATTCTTGGTATTAGTTTTGATGCCATGGCATGAAGGCTATTCAATCACACTAAGTATTAAAAGAGGTGTGTCCTTAATAGCACCACTCCAAAAACTGCTGGATCCACTAATCTTCGACCCCATTGGATCCGATTTCCACAA